ATTCTCATCCACAGACGAGCGCGCTCAAGCTACCGGATCCATTTAGCAAAACATTTGATGTAGGGCAGCGAGAATTCACCAGCTCCAATTCAATTAGTTGTTTTCAAGGTTTGGAAAGTGCTGGATTTCTGTGCAAAATCCTTGGAAGTGCTTGACAATCCAACTGCACAGTTTGGTAATAAAAGTCTGACTAAAAGCCTAAATTTACAGTTGAAACCAGATGCACTGCAAAAATAAAGCATTTTTGCTCTGGTTTCTAATGCAAATATATTAGTACACTTCAAATAAGAAGTGTATTATTTCAATAAAATAATATTCAGTGGAACCAAAACTTTTAAAATTTATATTAAGGAATGTTTTAATTCTTTTCTGTATATTTTTATACGCCAAATAAAATTATTTTTTTCACTGTCTGAAGTTAAATCAGATTAAACTTCCTCTGTTCCTTAAAATTATTTCTATTTGCTGAAATCCAGAAAATTAATTTTTTTGTCACTTTTTTGTTTTTATTTTAACACAATTTGTTTTGTTTCAATATTATGAATATTTATTATTTCTCAATGACTTATTGATCTGTTATTGAAAGAAAGATTGGCTTGTTTTTTACATGTTAAAGTGTCATCTGGTGCTGGAAAAGTTTTAACCTTTCATTGGAAAATGCTTGGACTATCCCCCCAGGCCTCATCATCCACGAGGGATCGTCGGTGTATCGAATATTTAAGCGGTGGCAGGCTGTCAATCAGCAGTGGAAAGTACTGAACTACGAGAAATCAAAAGACTTGGGCGACCCGGTGAGCTCCAGCAGTAAGACCGGCGCCCGCGGCTCGCGCGGCAACCCGCACGGCCTGGCCAGCGGCGGCGGCGGCCGACAGAGCAGGCGGCTAAGAACTATCCTGAACCACCACTGCGGATACACCATCCTGCACATCCTGAGCCAGCTCAGGCCCAACGACCCGCGGATCAGCGCCGCCGCCAACCGGGAGGTGGTGATGAGGGTCACCACCGTATGAGACGGACCTGCATCGAGCGGCAGAAGGACGTATGGACCTCAATTTGAAAAAAACGACGGACTCATTTGGCAACAGGAGCCCCGCGTGGGAGCGAACGGTGCCTGGAGCATCAATAGACTGAAAACACAGGAGGATTTCTCCTCTTGTTTCGTACAACAAAAGGAAGACAGATGCTCCTTTTCAATAATTAAAGAACCGATGAAAACATGGAAGTATTAAAAGACATAAAATATGAAATGTATGATGGTGGTGATGGGGGAGGGGATGATAGACAGGCTTTATAACCTGAAACAAAATGTTTTTTGTTTTTTTTTAAAACTCAATATCAGGATGCACAGGAACATTTTGTTTTTGTTTTCTATCCTCTTGGGGTTTTTTTTTTACTCACTTTGATTTTGTACTGATGTTTGAGTTTAGAAGGAACCGAGTTCGGTAACTTCACACATGCCAAACATTTCCGGTCGACTATGTAACGAGCTTAAAATTTCTACAAGCCAACTGATGCTGGTAAACTGACCGAAAGCTGAGAATAAAAACATCCATGAGGGCAAAAATAACTTTCAAAGAACAATAAGTCATTAATTTAAAAAAATGTTTAAAAAAAAAAAGAAGAAGAAGTGAGAAATATTTCAGTTATACTTAACCTTTCTGCAATAAAAATACGTATGTACATTTCACATAAAATTTTTGCATGGGTATATAATTTTATTCTTCATCACATAACATAAGCACATGACAAATTTGCTCTATTTCGAATGGTGCTTGCCAAAATAAACACTTTAAAAACGTCTGTTTTCATTGCACCACATTTTTGTCAGGATGAGAAATGGCTGTGTGTTAGAGCTACTTCAGCTAAAATACAGGTTGTTGGTGCTGTGTGCTGATTCAGATTTGATAAGTTAAGTATTGGATTAAAAATTGGGGTCAGATGATCTCTAACCTCTGAGGCTCATTCAGTGTCTTCTTTTGGTTTCAGTCAATGTTTTGTCATTTTTCTATGGAACGTTCACACAGCAGACAAATGCAAATCTGATTTTTTTTTTACATCAGTTTGAATGTCCCAATTCTGATCTTTACAACTATTTGTGCCACTGTTATATGTGGAGGTAAATCAAACATGCATCTGATAGTTTTCAAAGGATTTTGCCAATTTATGTCTTTAACGTGAGACTTGCCTTGTATTTCTGCATCAGAAGAAGCCAGAAGCGATAAAGACGGATATAAACAATGGCTGAAAATTATAATTATGAGCTCATAGAAGGAGTTTGCATCAGGGAAGCCGTCACATAACTATCCCACCACCGTTGGCTCCAACTGTGCATCCAAACACACTTCCCAACAACATTTTGCAGTCAGTGTATCTTTTGCGCATCTCAGATCCAGCAGGTTGACTTCACAACAACAGACCCACCAGGTTCACTGTATTTATTCTAACAGAAGAGGAAATCAAGTTACATCAAATGAAATAAAATAAATAACCCTAAACAAACTACAGAGATGAAACTCCCAGTGAACAGTTGGCAGCAGATAACAGCTGTAAAATTGAACGTAGACAAAATACACATCAGTCATAATAAAAGTTAAAAATCAAGGAAAATATGTCAAAATTACACATGAAACACTTCATATGATCAAATTTATCTAAAGTACATGGTAAAATATATTTATTGTGTTAATCCTACCAAAGTTACAGAACAGCAACAGAAAAAAGGGGGCGGAGCCGAGAGTCACTATGGTAACCACCATCCTGCACAACAGAACTGAACACAACAATAAATTTCTGGAGAAACAAAACAAAATAAATTCATTGAACACTTAAACAAATCTTGACAAATTTCACGTCTATAATAATGTTAAAATAAAACTGCTACAAAACGCACCATTGTTCTGACTTTAGTAGATTTCTTCATGTTGTTATGATCTTATGGCGACACTCCCATTGATGAATAACTTAAACATTAATCCAAAGGCCCATGTGATGTTGTTTCTCTCCAAACTAATCAAATTAATTTGGATGCAAATATGAATTCCAAGGAGCTGATTTGCATGAAAATAGCACAAAAAGACGTGCGTTTTGTTTCAATGTGTTGTCAGGCAGCGACCAGAGCATCTGACAGTGAGTGAAGCTCACCAGACACATAAGATGCCTAATAGACACAATGGACAATTGATGGAGTTTAGACATATTCAGTTTTCATAATGTCAAAACATTGGATATACTAATGGACACCCACATTCGCCTCATCATCTCACACCATGTGGTAAAGACTCTGGCCCACGTACCACACAGCGCACAATACAACTATCCTTACTATGTTTACTAATGCGTCTGAGTCATCCTTTGTGTCTGCTGAACAGCTCTGACTGCTCTGAGTGAGGAGCAGTGGCTCTGACTGCTCAATCAGGCAACTTTCAAGCTTTTACGGTTCCTCTATGAAACCAACACTGCCCTCTGGTGGCCATTCTACGCATCTCAGCTTCTGGCTGACAGTCATTTTGACCAGAAAGGCTTGAAGGTTCAACCGCTTCCACAACTGCAGGTGTTATATTCCACTACACATCATCTATCTCTTGATACTTTTAGATAAAAGCAACTACAAGTCAGAGATTTGCGTGGAAAATTTCAGATTTGAAAATGTATGGATGGGAATCAATCAACAGCAACAACAAAATCTGAAATATTTAAGTAGCATACATTGAATGATGCAACAGAAGCTGTCACTCTCAGGTTTAAATCTAAAAATTGTTCCAGCTTAATAGCAACGGCAACTAAGCTGGATTTCTGTAGCTTGCGCAAATGTTCATATTATTGCGCCACTTTCCTGTGAGTCAAGTCTGCAGCCTGAAAACCTAAAACCAGGTCAGAAGGATTAAAAGATGGAGAAACAAAGAATCCGTTGTGTTTATCAGAAGCTAAACTATTTGGTTTCCACACTTTGGCAGCAGTGGCAATAGAAGTACAATGGCTGCTCACATGCATGGGGCGAATCATGTGGAATCTGTCGCCCCCTCCTGGTTGCAACAAAACACGATTATGGGACAGAAAAACTCGAGCTTCATATGGAATTACAACCAAATATAAATAATAAACTATATGTACAATTCAAACTTATTTTTATTTATAAGATAATCATAAAACTGTAGATTAAAGGGGTTCCATATTTTCTTTTAAATCCACTTGCTCTGGAAAAAGCCTTTAATTTGATCACATTTATCTTTATTTATTGAGGCATATTTTAGAAATACTAAATTTCCCACTCTTGATTAAAATGGCTTTGTTTTGATTTCTTTGACTAATGTAAGAAAAAAATCAAGAAAATGTTCAACTTCATAATTATAAATTAAAACATTTGTATTTTTAAATATTTTTTAGCAACTGTTCAGATTTTTCTTGTGAAAATTTCAGATTTTAATCCGATTTTTTATTTATTTATTTGACTGTTCAAAAAGTTGTTGAATTGTTGTTGTTTTTTTATTTCATAAAAATGTCTGAGATTAATCTTAAGATTTCTGATTGTTTTTCAAGCAGCTTTTCGACTTTTGAAACTTTCTGGGATTTTCTGGGGGAAATGAACTCCTTTAATTATTCATTCATTTATTTATTTACACGGGGCCGTAATACGTCGTCGTAGGTTTAAATACTTTCGCCAAAGAGTAAAAACTTTTTGCATGCATTTGGAAATGAACTGGACGAAACAGCTATAATCATGTGCGATAAGTCGGAATCTATTTCTGTTAATTGAGATTTTTTAAAAATCAATTTTAAAAGTACAAAAGAAAAAATGTTAATCTTCTGTCCTGCTGATCCAGACTCCTGTGGCCCAGGAGTAAAAACTGGGCCACAGGAAGGAGACAGGAGAAACTGGTGTGCAGAGTTTGTCCGTCCCCTTTTCTTTGTTCCTCCTTCCTTCACCTGTCAGGTGAGTTCAGTTCCGCCCCCTGCTGCGCCGCCTGCGCCGCGCTGACTCTGACACAGCCGGGAGGCGTGGAGGAAACACCGAGGAAGAGAGGCGATCAATTCACCGCGGGAAGCTTCCCGGCTCGGTTCTACTCATGGCCCGGTTCTAGGAGCTCTACGCGGCTCAACATGTTCTCCTTCCTGCGCTCAGGTGAGTTTCACCTGAACAAACTTTTCTATGCTTTACGGGAAAACCTCCGAGGCGGGTCTCTTCCTGTCATTAGTTTATTTTTATACGTTTATTACAGGAACGGATTAGGTGACGAAGTTCAGGCTCGTTTCCTGTAATAATGTTTTTAAATTGTCTCCGGTTTGCTGTCCGCTGCAGAAAATGTGTTTTTATAGCTCCACTGAGCAACAAAAAGAAGTTTTCAGTCACAAACACCCACATGACAGAACTGCAGTAACTGCTATTATTGAAGTATAAATGTATTGATAAATTATAAGAGATGTTGGATTCCCGTTAGAAAATGTCCATCTGTTATATTTGAGAGTTTATAGTGTCACTCTGTGACGTCATGTGTTTTTGACAACTTGTGATGTTAAAACATAGCCTACTTATATGAATTTTAAATATATGCATGATCTTTTTGTGTTTAATTCAGTTAATTATAATCAAATGTTGGTTTTGGAAACAAGTAGTTTATCTAACTTTATTAAAAGTGTAATGCAATTTTTTTTGTTTTCTTTTAAATCTAAAATCAAAATTAAAAAAATAAACATAAAATCTGAAAGTTTTCTTAAATCAGACTGCGGTGACCAACAGGTGCTAATGTCAAAAATAACTATATATTAAAATAATATCAATATATTTGCTAAATGTTTTAGATCATAGTGTACTTAAATATCCAAATATTGCTCCAAAGTGCTCCAGACCACTAGAGGGAGTGGAGCAACTCAAATTGAAACAGAATGACATACAACGGGACGTCAAAAAGAAAGTTGGTTGAAGAAAAAAATTCTGTGTCATGATTCATGTACTTTTCAAACTTACAGTCTTATACATAACTAAAGAACAGCAGCTTATTTATATAGGTAATATTACGGTCTCCTGACTCCCCCTAGTGGTCTGGAGTACTTCTAACGGTTTGCAGCATTTCTTAATTTCTGTCCTGTTCGCTCTGACTTGATAAGGAAAGTTATGTTTGGATTGGCCAAGTCAACGTCCTGATTAAAATCCATCTGAGATGGGAGCATGACTTCAAACTAACCTTTGATCCCCAAAAACCCTCAAGTTTGGTTTAATTACAACATTTCTGTAGAGAATGGTGAGAGCGGACTTTTATCAGCAAGACAAATATTTAGCTCTGAGCTTTAAACTCTAGCTACCATAAGATAATAAACTCAAAGTTTATTATCTTGCTAAATATTTAGTTTGGACCTATTTAGCTTTCTAACTACATATTTTGGTGGCAAGTTAATTATTTTGTGGTAAAACTTATCTTCGTCACAAATACTTAGCTAGCTCAAAGCTAAATATTTATCTTGCTAACTAAATATTTAAGATTCAAACTAATATTAAAAATGTTGTTTATGCTATTTAGCTTTTGTAACTACATGTTTGGTATTTTTCTAAATATTTACTTATAAAACTAAATATTTTGCTGAAAAATTTAGGTAGCTCATAGCTAAGTATTTAACTAATTTAAAATGTTTAGGTTGAACGAATGGAGACATTGATAGGTTTCTGCAGAACCTGAAGGGAGGGTTGGAGACTTCAGGCTCCAAATGGCATCAGCCCACATGTCCACCGCGGGACGGTGCCAGTTGGGTCCTCAGGCATTGAGGACCCGACTAATTCGTATTTGTTCAGGTTTTGAAGCGGTTCTGTCTGAGGGATTGGGAACTTGTTTGCCCAGTTCAGACTCAGTTCCTTTGTCCTTTAAACATTAAGTTTCTTTAAATTCTTTACATTGCTTCTTGGTGGCTTGTAAAGGAAGAACGCCCCTGTTTCCAGAGACATTGTCACTTAAATAATTACAAAGGAGTGTCATCAATAGGCCTGTCACAGATCATTTGCTGGACAATAAATTGTCTCAGAAGTTATCTAATAAAGGATCATTTTGAGGTTTGGAGAATATTTTCATAATAATATTATACAAATCGCATAATAATGTAAGAACACATTCTAAAAAATCAATAAACTTTAAACTCTAATGAACAAATATACAAAATAAGCAAATAAAACAACACATAAAATGAATTATCTGTAAATAAAATTGTCCTTTAAAAAGGAATAGTTGAGACAAAAGCTCCAAAGTGAAAGCTTTTACAATCCAGTTTTTGGTAGAAAGAGAAAAATGATAAACCATGAGAATGGAAATTATTGAGCTTGTCTTAATCTATTATGTGATTAATTGATTTGTTACTTATTGTGACAGGCGTCGTCCTCAATAACCAATAGATGCACTGTTGAATAAACTGAATAATTTGCCATATTCTGATTTTTTATTTATTTGCCAATGTAAAATTCAACAAATCTTTTTGCAGTAATAGGCATGTCTGTCTTGAAAAAGAGATTTTTAATCTCAATAAATAAAGGCTACATAGATTTTAGCAACGTAATTTTTGGAGCAACACTATTCCTTAGTAAAACATGAATGAATATATAGATGCATAATGTTGAAAATAGTTTTTATTCTGGTGAAAAGTAAAAATATGGAATGAAAATAAATTATAGTTGTTCTGGTGAAATAATGTGACTTTTCTTCTCCCTGACTGAAGAGTTGAGATGAAAAGTTTTTTCTCACGGCTCTGTGTTTGTGTAGAGTTTCGTTTTGTGTGTGCAGTAATTTTTATTCTTGGATTTAAATCCGATTTAATTGCCGGGTTGCTTCCAGGCAGAAATCCCCTGCCTGAGAACATCCACATCCCCTCCCTGCCGCCCAGCGTTCCCCTGGACCCAGAGCCTGATCTGCCAGACCGACAAGGTGATTATCTTTTATGTTAAGCAATGCAAATCCTTAATTTATGATTAAGACGCATCATTTCCACATATTGACGCAAGATGTTGGTATTTACGCAAACTTTCAGATTCTGGAATTTGAAATTTGCTTTGTAAACAAAGTTTTGCTTGCTTACCTTTTGACTGCAACTAATAATTATTTTAGTGAGCATTTATCCTGACAATTAATCAATTAATCGTCAACATCAACACATTCTACTTATTTAGCACTTAAACACTTAGGGCTTTTATACAATATTAGGCATGCATTAAAATATCAAAATAAACGATACATTTAATTCCTTTTTTCAGTAAGAAAATGAAAATGTTATTGCTTGGAAGTTGACGCATCGTTGCGTGGGAGGATTTTTAACTTGAGCTAAAACATGTCAGTTTTAGCCTTTTAACAAACTGTTAACATTTAAATAGACTTTCTGATGAACGTGTTGATGTTTCCGCAGACGACTCTGTGCAAAACCAGGAGAAAGCTGTTATCCAGACCACACACACTCACCGAGGATCGTCCACGCCTTCGGTTTTCCTCCAGAACCGCAGCAATGAACCGGCTCCGACCACGTACTTTGAGCAGAAAGTCCCTGTTCCTGAGGAGGACACTGAGGTAACCTAAACCAGACTGTTTATTTAATTTAAAACCTTGTAAACTTTACAGCTTGTATTCCTGCTATAGAGACTGTTCAGTCTGCGTAAACTCTGGGCCTTCACTGGGCCCGGCTTTCTGATGAGCATTGCCTACCTGGACCCGGGAAACATCGAGTCTGACCTGCAGTCAGGAGCTAAAGCTGGATTTAAGGTAACAGAAAACAAATTCAAAGTTTTTACATCTTCTAATAAAACTGCTGGAAACCAATGAACAGCGTCTTCCTTCAGGAGACACGTGAACGTTGACATTATTTTGTTAAAATGTAAATTTCTAAATTTTGTCAGGTGTGTTAAAATAAAATTCAGTTTTATGAGTACAGTAAAAATATTGAGAAAAAAACAGAATCATTTCTGGAAGAGAAGATATTTTCTGGTGACTTTTTCTACAACCAGTGCATCTGCAGAAAGTTTATATGCAAAAACAGAAAATTAGTTTGGTTATTTAGTCTTATGAGAATAAAGTTTCCAACCCGTTTACATGAGGCAGAGCAGGTATTTATATCAGTCGCATTTCAAATCACTGTTGACATCCTTTTTTCATTTTTATTGTCATTTTCTCATTGTTTAGATGTTTTTCTCATCATTTCCATCATTTTTATTCTTCATATCATTTATTCTAATCATTTTGAAAATCCACATTTTCACTCTCATTATTTTGACTTTTTACTTTTTTTCTTATGTTCTCCTGATTTTCACATTTTTCTCATCGTTCTGATCATTTCCAGCTTTTTTTATTATTTTCTTATAATCTCAACATTTCCACATCATTTTGACTTTCTCTCATTATGTCTGCCATTGTGATTTCTTTTAATCTCATCATTATGATGCATCATTTTGCATTTCACCACCATTTCTTCTAATAATCTTCAGTTCTTTGACATTAAATTTTTTCTCAACATTTTGAGTTTTTTCTCATTTTTATCTGATTAGTTTGCCATTTTCTTTTTGGTTTGATTTTGTCATAATCAAACTTTGTTCTAGTAGCTTTTGTGGGGAAAATATACCTACTATATTTACTTATTATACTTTTTACTTTTACCTGAGTAATTTTATGATTAAGTATTTCTACTCTTACTTGAGTGAATTTTGTGTATTTTCTATCCACTGAATGAAAAACAAAACATGTTTTAATCAAAAATTCACCAGACACACAGTTGCGATTTCTGTTAAAGTTTCAAAAGTATTATTGAAATAAACTGATTTGGAAACATTTTCTTTTGTCTGATTTTGTTGTTTTTTTGTTATTTATGTGAATTATTGTCCTATTGGTCCTTAAAATACCAACATTTCCACTTTATATTTTGGTCTGTCTGATGAGTTTTCTCAATTAAATGATTGATAATTTGATCAGTTACATGAGCAGACTTTTTGCTGTTGCTTGAGTAATTTCTTGGGCATCTTTTTGCTTTCACTTGAGTAAAGTCATGTTGAAGTAGAGCTGCTCTGAGCTGAGTATAGCTCTCTGCTGTTTCTGCTCCCTTCAGCTCCTCTGGGTGTTGCTGCTGGCCACCATCATCGGCCTGCTGCTGCAGCGGCTGGCGGCGCGGCTCGGCGTCGTCACCGGGATGCACTTGGCTGAAGTCTGCAACCGCCAGTACCCCACTGTGAGACAACCACACCCAGTGTGAAAACATTTTAATCAAATTAAAATCTTATACTAAAATGCATTGGCAATTATTTGTTTATAAATAACTATGATTTTTGCTTTATTTGTCCAAGTCTATCCTGTGACTTTTACTGAAAAGCTGACTTTTTAATTAATTCTCCTTTTAATTAATTTATTAAACTTGGCTAAATGCAGCAAGTGTTTTCATGAACATAACTCACTAAATGTACTTTTGACATAACTCATTGCATTTTGTTAAATCTTTTCCAATTGACAACTAAAAAATTGCAGCATTTCTTTTAATAAAGTAAACCTGTAAAACTCTTTTTAAGGGGCATTCAGACCAGCCCTGTTTAGTCCACTTCAATCCACTTCGGTTGCCTAAAAGGTTTGTAACTTGGTTCATCTACAAACCCCCGTCTCCGTTCGTTTAAAGTGAACTCTGGTGCGTTTCCAGTACATATGTGAATGCCAAGCAGACTGGAGACCGCTGATAAAGCAAGAAGTACAGCATGAAGTTTGCCACAGGTTCTGGGTTGGATTTAGGTGTGGACTTTGACTGGGTCGTCCTAAATGATGCTTGTTTGCTTCGTATTTTCTGCCTGCGATGCAGAAATCAAGCGGACTCGCTGACTTCTCCATGTTTTCCATGAAGGTGCCCAGAATCCTGCTGTGGTTGATGGTGGAGGTGGCGATCATCGGCTCCGACATGCAGGAGGTCATCGGCTGCGCCATCGCGTTCAACCTGCTGTCCTCTCGCAGGTGTGGCAGTGTTTTTCAAAGTGGGGGCCACCAGAGGGCGCAAAATATTTATTTTGAACATGTAAAATGTGAGAGAAAAAATAAGAACACAAAAAAATACATGCATCATGATAGAAATTAAATATAAAAACAAAAGCAAAATTTATCCAGATCATAAATGAGTAGGAAGAAGACAAACCTTATTAAATCTTACTCCAATTGTCTCATCTATTGCTATACATATTTACACGTCTCATTTTGAGGAATCTTTTTTTTTCGCCATTAATTATAAAATAACACTGAAAATTTCTCATGTAAAGAGGATTTCCACCACAGATCTCCCAACTAAAATCCGAAGAAATGAGGCAGCATTTATGCTAAGTGAATGTAATAAAACGAGGGGAAAAATTTAAATTCAATGTTTTATTTTATTCCATGGAGCATCGTTTATGGCTATACCGTTTGGTATCCAGAATCGTTTGGTGCTAAAACATAAAAATTGAGCTTCTTCGGTTGCTGTGTGTGTTTTGTTGACAGGATCCCCCTCTGGGCCGGTGTGCTCATCACCATTATCGACACTTTCTTCTTCCTCTTCCTGGATAAGTACGGTACGTAGCACGTCTTCAGACAGTGAAACACACAGCAGAGAGGAAGAGTAAATCAAATCTTTCTGTGTTTTTCTGCAGGCTTGAGGAGGCTGGAGGCCTTTTTTGGTTTGCTAATTACTATTATGGCCATAACATTTGGATATGAGGTACTTTGGACTTTGGTTTGTTTTGATATTTGCACTTTTTCAGCCAATCAGAGCCATGGAATAAATGTACAAAACAAACTTGTAGTTTTCTTATTTTCTGTAGCTGATCATAGTCTTGGTGGATTTAAAGTTTGATCATTCACATCTTATCAACGAGCAATAATGTTTACTTTTTTTTTCCTGACTAGTCCTAATAACAATAATTTTTCAAAATGTAAATACTGTATTTTTAGGAAGGAAATATGTAAGATTCAATATCTAGGAAGCAAAAAATAACTAGGTAAAACTAACTCAAAATAAATGAGACATCTCTTGAATTAGAGATTTTGATTTGTCAAAATTTAAGTGAAGATATCTTGAATTATTATTCTTATTAATCAGATTGTAAATGCAGATGACATAAGTTACCATTTAGGATAATGAAAAGTAGTTGGTTCTATTCAAAACACATGTTTTAATAGTCAGATCAAGTTGATTTTATGCCAAAGCAGCATGGCCACTCTTTATGCATGTGAATGTAAATTCCTCTAGATCTTACAGACACAAGAGTCTTTTAATCCTGGAAATGTTCCTCAGGTGATAGAAGGCCAACTTGGTAACTGTCTTTATGTGACTCTGAATGTTCTGAGTTCATCACTACACCAGGATTTTGGATCTGATTTGTAGTTTGTAGTTTAAATAACTGAAGCTGTGTGCTGATAGTTCCTCTTTAGGTTGTTTTAAACTGGTAAACAATTTAAAACATTTAAATTCAACACCGTTATTCAAATTATGTATGCAACTGTGTGTCATCAGCATAGAAGTGAACATTAATGCTGTGTGTCCCTATTTCATATGGGTTACAAAATTTTTAGATCTAAAATTGTGCCTTGCGGGATGCCATTGTTTACGTTTTAGTTTCCTAAAAGAATATTCTGTCGTTGAGATACGAGTTCAACGACTCAACATCAACATCATTGCCACTAATCTGCCTTATTCTTCCATTTTCACCATTTTATGTCTGATTGTGCCGTACTGTAAACATCAGAAATATTTGCCTACACATGTAAAGTTAATGTAGCTGCTGTGTTGCAGTACGTGACAGTGGCTCCTGACCAAGGCCAGCTGCTGATGGGGATGTTTGTGCCGTACTGCGAAGGCTGCGGGCCGGTTCAGCTCACCCAGGCCGTCGGCGTCGTGGGCGCCGTCATCATGCCTCACAACATTTACCTCCACTCTGCTCTGGTGAAGGTCAGACACCAGCTAAAGTAAAACTCAACACTGTGAAACCTGTAAACACTTCCTGTAATTCCACATAATGGTGCAATATGATGTTTCAGAAATAAATGGAAAGATGCCAATTTTTGTGTGTTTTGATCAAAAGTTTTGGCGTTAGGATGAAATTGGTTTATTTTGTATAACTGCAACGGAAACACTTTTTTTGCATCACACAAATCACATGATCAACAACCGGATGTTTCCATTGGCGCAACTCACGAAGAATAAGATGACAGGAAGTAGTTGGAGGATGATGGCGAAGCTTGTCTTTTAACGACTTAATATGTAAACAAACATATTCATGTTCTGAAATGTACTTTTGCTTTTCTACTTACAACGGCCCTGATACGCCATCGTACACATGAATGCGTTTGTTCATGTAGTAAAACATGCTGTGACATCATCTCCAACTACTTCCTGTCGTCTTCTTCATGATTTGCGCCAGTGGAAACATCCGGTTGTTGATCGTGTGATTTGTGTGATGCAAAATAAATCAAATTCTACAACAGCCTTGATACGCTGTCACGCACGTATGATTTTAATTCCATTTCTTTTTTAATGAAAAACACCACAATTACAAAATTGCATTTTTTTCTAGAAATATTTTTGTGCACATTTGTAAAGGAAATGCAGCTAGTGAGTCTCCATGTCTGCTTTAAAGTCTCGGGAAGTGGATCGCTCGAAGAAGAAAGCAATACAAGAGGCTAACAAGTACTTCTTCATCGAGTCGGCCATTGCTCTGTTTGTCTCGTTCCTCATCAACGTGTTTGTGGTCGCTGTCTTTGCTGAGGCGTTCTACCAGCGCACAAACATCGAGGTGGTGAGTACTCCTGCAGATGTTCTCATCGTCCTAAAGCTGCTTCATATCCAGATGTTCTCTCTGACGGTTTCGTCGTTGTGTTTCAGAATAACGTCTGCAACCAGTCGAGCATTCCTCACTCCAACCTCTTCCCTATGGACAACAAAACTCTGGAGGTGGACATCTATAAAGGGGTTTGTTTGTCATTTTTTCAGTGAACCAGCTCATGTGTGGGGCGAGTTGTGTCAGTTTGTGTGATGGTTTGGTTTCATCGTAACAGGGAGTTGTTCTGGGCTGCTTCTTCGGGCCTGCGGCGCTCTACATATGGGCCGTCGGGATTCTTGCAGCCGGTCAGAGCTCCACCATGACTGGAACCTACTCTGGCCAGTTTGTCATGGAGGTCAGTTGGAGTTACAAGATCAGATGCTTGGCAGAGCAATAAATATTCAATAAATCAATTAATATCATAATAAATTAAAACTAATTCAATGATTTCCATTTGCACGATTTATCAATTTTCTTTTTTTTTTCTCTATTTCTACCAAAAATTTGACGTTAAAAGTCTGCAGTCTGGTGTTTTGTTCTAAAGTGGCGCTTTTCCTTTTGAAGGACAACTTGTTTACAGCGACTTCATAATTCATGTTGTTATTTCTGTTGTTTTGTTTATTTATTTTGGACATTTAGAGTGTCTTCCAGTTTCAGTGCGAAATGTTCATTAGAATTTAAAGAATTAAAAAGATGAAGAACTTGATTTAGCTCTTTAATTAATTCTTAGTCCCGAATTCCTGTGTCTGTGTAAGTGTGCAGAGAGAAAAGAGCAATCATACGACGTCAGACTTCAGATATTCAGAGTTTTATCCAGAGAAAATCAATGCAAGAAGAATGTTACAATAATCATCTCACCTAGAATATCAAAGGTCCAAGACATTACAAAATAGAGACAAAGAACTGAGTAAAAGATAGAAGATGTATCCTCCGGGAAACTCTCACTCAGCACAAAGAGATTCCAACTTCTGCTGTGAAACAAACCATTTTTTATAGACTGCATATTCTCCTCATTTAAATATATGCATTAGGAGGTGTGTTCTTTTCCTTTGTGTGGGCTGTCTCAATGTTAATTTTATTACCTCCTGCTAAAGAGCCCCAAAAGCAGATATACGGCAAACCCTTCTCGTATCAGCCGCTGTCCAGTTTGATATATGATTGCAGCTGCAGCGCTATCTGTGCCTCAAAATGTTTCCACAAGAAAGTAGTTTGTATTTTTAACCAAGCTTGCACACAATGTAATGCTAAATAATGACTATAAGTTTGGATCTAATAAGTAACTAATTAAAACATGCTTAAAGAAATATAGTTAATTCTAATATAGATAAAATTATTTATAAAAAGTTTTAAGATCCTAGTGAACTTTTGAACCATGCTAAGGAATTTGTTAATTGCCTGGCAGACAGACTCTCTGTCTAAAGAGATTCTAGGCCTGTCTTTTCTGTAGAATCCTCCCTAAGAATTTATATAAGTTCAGAGATTCAGCAGTTGTTTTAGTTTGGATCTTTATCTAAATTTATGTGAATGTAGAGTGTACTTTAACTTTCTATGGTATATTTCATATGTATCAAAACTATCCTGTGCAGTATTGTGCTAATTTAAAATATTATTTCAACAAATTTAAAGTTTCTATATCTTTAAGAATGTGTCCTTGCATTATTAGGCCATTATTGCCGTTATATTACTTGAAAATAGTCTCAAAATAACAATATTAACTAATATTATCACAATGACTTCTGAGACAATTTATCATTAGCAACTTTTTATCATTACAGGCCTAATTGACTCCTGGCTTTGATCGGTTGATCTGACTCAGCGTTGTGTTTCTCCATCACTGGGAGAAGTCACAACATAATGATCATTTTAACAAATATGTGAAAAGAAATGTATAAATGTTATTTTCTAATTTGCTTCATCTTGTGTGTAATTTACCATCTAAAACTGCTGGTGATTCCTGTTTCTCAGGGTTTCCTGAACCTGCGCTGGTCACGTTTTGCTCGGGTTTTGCTGACCCGCTCCCTCGCCATCACTCCCACGCTGCTGGTGGCCATTTTTCAGGACGTGCAGCACCTGACGGGCATGAACGACTTCCTCAACGTACTTCAGAGCATGCAGGTTAGACACGGACTCCAACTGCCTCATCTGCTTCCAGTCGAAGAAAGAAACAAACTACATTAAACTAACACTGCAACCAGCGATTGTGTTTTGTTTTATTGCATGAAATTCATTCGCAGCCCTCAAATGGCCCCCTGACCACACTTTGAACCCCCTGATGTAAACTAACAAACAGCACAGACCTCACTCCAGATTTCTTCTCTCCCAGCTGCCGTTCGCCCTCATCCCCATCCTCACCTTCACCAGTCTGCCGTCTCTGATGAACGACTTTGCCAACGGACTGTAAGCGGACCGCTACCGTCGCCATCACTTCCTGCTCCACTTCCTGCTCCACTTCCAGCTCAGCATGTTCGTCTCTCTGCAGGATGTTTAAGATCATGGGAGGGCTGGTGATCCTGTGCGTGTGCGCCATCAACATGTACTTCGTGGTGGTGTACGTGACGGCGCTGAACAGCGTGTGGCTCTACGTGCTCGCTGCCTTCCTCTCCTTGGCGTACCTCACGTTCGTGGGCTACTTGGTGAGATCAGCTTCACTCATTGACCTTTCTGCAAATATAAAACATCAATTCAGAATATTTAAAGTGTTCTGATGAAACTTCAGAGAGAAAGTTTTCTAAAGAAAAGACAAGTTTTCATGTTTTTATTTTATTTATTCCTTATTGCAGTGAAATTCCACTTGATAGATAGATAGATAGATAGATAGATAGATAGATAGATAGATAGATAGATAGATAGATAGATAGATAGATAGATAGATAGATAGATAGATAGATAGATAGATAGATAGATAGATAGATAGATAGATAGATAGATAGATAGATAGATAGATAGATAGATAGATAGATAGATAGATAGATAGATAGATAGATAGATAGATAGATAGATAGATAGATAGATAGATAGATAGATAGATAGATAGATACTTGTGTTTTTTGTAGATATTTATTTTTTTATGTGTTTTATGTCCATGCTCACATGAGAAGTTCAGTGAGTTCAAACTGTAAAAATATAATAAAAACATAAACTAAAAAAACAAAAATAGGTCCAGTGATGAATTAATTTAGAATTAGCTTAAACTCAGTGAGATGAGTTTCTTCAGATTCATCTGATTTTGGATATTTTTTCAAGAGCGTGTGGCAGAATATTTAAATAATCCCAACAAAGCAGTGAAAGCCTTTCATCCTTTCCTCATCTGACTCATCTGACCTTTGACCTGTGCGTGTTGCTGTGCTGCAGGTGTGGCTGTGCCTGATAGCGCTGGGTGTGTCCTGCCTGGATCCGAGCTTCAGGAGAGGAAACGACTCGACCATCCTGATACAGGAGCAGCCGGAGTTCGACACCTGAGCCAGACGTAGATTAAACCGGCCCTTGGATTGTCGGTCAACCCAGAACCGGGTCTCACGCTGACCAGTTGGATGGTGCTAAAGTATTTTTACTAATCTATGATATATGATCTGTTTCATGTTGTTTTTATCTTTATTATGACATGTTAGAAAACTGAAGGACAGTCAATTTTTCTGTTTTTCAGTGCAAAACAGAGCATGAACACAGGACACCTTAGCATGTTGTACTAGCATGTCACTAACACTCGCAGCACTTTCCAAAATTAATCTCGACATTTTGGACTTCTCCACATTTTGTCACTTTACAACCTAAAACTTCAATGTATTTATTCAGATTTTATGCAAATGGGGCCTGAATTGGGAAGCTGAAGGAAAGTTATTTCAAAATGGCATCTATTAAGATCTACTTTTAAATCTTGACAAATATTCTCAGTTGGATTTCAGTCAGGACCATTCTAAAACATGTTCATTTTTACTTTATTTATTTCTGTATTAAACCTCTAAGGGCTTCAAAAAACAGTGGGATTTATATAAATCAAGATGACAATATGATATGCATATTGACTGCTTACTAACTCTGCAACTTTAGGAGGAAATTAGTTGTCAGAAGTTTAAATCAAGTAAAAGAATATGGTTATTGACTTGTGCAAATGCTAAAACACACAGTAAACAAGATTTATGCAAACTTCAAAACACGCAAAAAACAAAATGCTGCAACCACAAGAAATGGAAGCATCTTAAAAGATGTCGGCCATCATAAAAGAGGAATACTTGTGCACATCTTACTTTTCAGATTAAATAAGAAAATAAAAAACTATGCATCATTTCCCTTACCCTTTGCATTTCGGCATAATTTTATGCTGGCCTGCACTGCAAAAACACAAAATCTTACTGAGTATTTTTTGTCTAGTTTTTAGAACAAATATCTTAGTACACTTGAAATAAGACAAACTAACTTGTAGCTTTTCAGCAAGATATAGGAGCTTGTTTTAAATGAATAATTTCTTCATATTGGCACTCGCAGGATATTTCACTAATAACAACACATATTTCCTGTATCATAAGTGCAATATTCTGCAATTAATCTCATACTTAATCTCTATTAAGGACTTATTTACTTAAAACAATCTTCTATTTCTTCTGAAAAGCTATTTTTAAGTTGGTTTTGCCTTATTTCAAGTGTAATAATATATTTGCATTAGAAACTGGAAAGTCTACAAATATGGTAATATTTTGTGTTTTTCCAGTGCATCACAAAATTTAAATAAAAAAATTTGCGGTTGAAATATGACAAAATTTGGAAAACAACAAAGTTTGGTGTCTTTCAGCACATTTTGCATTCTAGCAAGAGGAGCAGTGTTAATCACGTTCATTCTTTTTAAAAAAGAAGAATATTATAATAACTTGAAGGTTTTTGTGGAGAATCTCGCTGCCCTGTGTTTCAATCTTATGTACAAACAGGAAAACCAACAAGATATTGTGTTCATTAAAGGAGCAGAATGCAACTTTTATTTAAAAAAAAATACATATATATTTTTTTACATATTTGTTAAAACTGCCACTATGTTGTGTCAGTAATAAGACAGATTCTGTGATGTAAATTGAGCTCCTACGTCTTTTCCCACTGCTAAATATAAACAACCAATCAGAACCAGGAAGTGGATCTTAGCAATGTCAATCATCCCTCTTTCTGCGGCTAGCATAGCCTGTTGTGAATGCTAGCCGACAGATAAACAACTTTCCTAACAGTGAATTGTTTTTCCGCCATCTGCTCATTTAGCAGCAACTGCTTGAGGTTGATTGACAGTGCTAAGACACTCCTCCTGTTTCTGATTGGTTGTTTTTGTACATTTCTTCAGACTCTAATAGTAGCTCAGGGAAAACGTGGAGGAGATTTATCTTTTCCACATATTGACTCTCTCGTGTTATACTGTCACAACAGTTTTAATAAATATGTACTAAACTTTTTTAAATAAAAGTTACAAACTGTACTTTTAAATGGGGCCCTGAAAGACGAGTGGTATTAAAAATAAGATATTTACATTTAAATATCCTCTTGAGGGAATATTTTTGTCGACTTTCAGAGTTGTTTCCGTTTTTGCCCACAAGGAGGCAGTGCAGAGCACTACAGGGAGACACCATTAACATCTAAACACAGCTTACAACCAACCCAGGAGATTAAAGGGCATGTTTGTGTGTTGGGACAGAAGCTGTGGCTCTTCTTTGTCCAACGTAGCGGGCAGCAGCTGTAGTACTTGGGGTTTTATCCAGAGGTGCTGCTGTTGCACAAATGCTGCGGTGGATCAGCAAACTTTGAGCAACATTGAGCCGAATTCCAGCGTCGAAGGGATTCTGTCTTTACGAGGGAAGGTAGACGAACAGGTTTTCCTCCTGGCATTGAGACGAGAAACTTCTCTTTCTCTTTTACTCTCTCTGTGTCTCTGTGGCTGCCCATCATGGAGGCCGGGTTATGTAAGAGTTCCCACCGCCCCTCTCTGTTTTTGTTTTTCTCAATGAGCCAATGTCTCCCTGCCTAGGCCTCACAGCCGGTCCAGTCCTGTAGGCCCCTTTTCCTGGAAATACAGCCTTAGCAGAGGCCAGTCAGGGGCAGGCCTGCGAGGGTGGAGGGTGGGTGGAGAGGTGGGGGGGTTCTTCCAGCAAATCACATGATTATTCACCCTACAGCCCCAGCCTTACATGAAACTCAGATGCTGCAGCAATATGTTACCAGCTGGGGTTGCATTCAACAAGGCTGAATGTTTGTTGATGCACCACTTGGCCTGTCACCATGACAGATTTTGCTGAATGATAAATTGTTCCAGAAGTTATTGTGATAAATGATAATATTGTCTTTTTGAGATCATTTTCAAGTAATATAAATGGTAATGATGACATAATAGTACAATAATTCATTTTGAAAGATCAATAAGCTTTAAAATCTAATGGGCTGGAAAAGGAGGACATTTTAAATATTAAAAATAAATGAATGAAACAATGAAAACAACTAATAAATAACATACTAATAAATGTTGTTAAATTAATAAATTTAATTATGGACTCTGTAAACAAAAACATCCTTTAAAATATGGAGCTAGTTGAGACTAAAGCACAAGAGTGAAGATTTTTACTATCTAGTTTTCGGTAGAAAGAGAGAAATATCCAAATGAAAATTATTGAGCGTGTCATAATTTATCATGCGATTAATTTATTTATTGCTTATTGTGACAGACCTAGGCTTGAAGTTCATGAAGACGGTGGTTTGGATGCCGGTGGAAAACCACTACAGATGATGAAAGATGTTTGTCTTATTTATCTACGCAGAAAATCTTAAGAGAGATCCGGATAATTTCCATCCCCACTTCCAGCGGTTTAAACTTGGTTTTTGAAACCACTTCCTGATGTTTTATGATTTTATGGAAACAGCGGTTTCTCTTCATTGTTTTTAACTTATTTAAGCACATTTTTATTTTCGATCAAACTGTTATGACTTGAGCATTATTGTGTCACCATGCGGCTGATTTAAACCTCTTATTTCTTTTTCAGATGTTTTTGATAGAATTGAAATACTTTTTTTGCCAAACCTCTTGTTCACACAAATAAATTGTTTTAATAAATTACACTATTGAAAAAAATAATGTGTCACATCTTACTTTATTAATCTCAAAGGGAAATTAAATGTTGTCCAAACTCAAAGAGGTATCCCCAAATAGTAAACTGGAACGATCTCCAGTAGCAGTCAGTCTGGCAGTGAATCTAAAGAAGCTTCTGACTGAAGACTAACATGTCCGGGATGATGCCATCAGGTGTTGGGCAGGACTGCTAATCCACCTCGTTGTGGTTAGAAAGCAGAGAAGAGAGAGGTTGGAGTAGGGGATCTGATTGGTACCATTTCAAATTCAAACTCAAAACTGCTCAAAAAATTGGAATGAAATGTACATAACTCATATTAATGACAATTAATATTTTATTGACACACTGATCTTTCCTGCCAATGACTGTTGGTAGGAGAGATCTCCAGTATCAATCTGAATTAAAGTGAATTTCAAGAAGCCTCTGGCTAAAGACTCTGTTTTCCCAAGACATTCTCATGAAGAGGAATTACGATGAATGTAAGAGATTGTATGAACTTTCTCCTTCTCTCTCTCGCTGCTCTCAGTTCAGGTATTTGAGGTTTTGAGATGCTAATCAGCTGCTCCCAGTTGTAAAAATAACACCTTGTTGCCACAGTTACGGATCATAACAACCGTCGAAAAGCATCGGAGCAAAATCAACAACAATCCTTCCGGAATAATTGTCCCCAAACATGCAGGCTGCCGCTATGCAATCAGCAAACACATTACTTTATTCGATCTGTTTTCCCTGTTTGTAATTTGAGCGTTTAAAATTTTTCTCTCCATAAAGATAAAAACATTTCACACCTCACCTGTACGTTGCTTGTGTTTCAATATTTCTCATCAGAAACCAAGAATGACAGCCAAAAAGAAAGTAAGTAGCTGGCTATATAAAAAATAATGTGGATAGCAATAAACTGTCATACAAGCATTTTACTTGTGGTCATAATTAATTTAGTGGAAATGTTTAATTACATTTTCTTCAATTGCCAAAAACCCAAAACAAACCCACCAGTTTTTTCTGTCATCATTAATTTTATGTTTCATTATTTTTAAGTAAAAAAAAAAAAAATCGAATTACACTTATATTTCAACTTGTTTGTTTTTTCCCACAAAAACTAGAAATACAAGCCAGTGTGTTGTCCCACACAGAAAACGCAGTTCTTTCTGTAGGTTTGCTAGTTTTTATAGTAGGAAATATTGGAAGTTTTAAGTTTGAATCTATTTAAAGAATAGAGGAAAATGTTTAATTTTTCAGTGTTATGGCTAATTGGAGCCAATCAGCAGGGGGTTGGAGGGAGGCCAATTATGATCTCTGGCTGGTTGAAATTCAAAATTTTCTTTTGAATTATTACTTTTGGTTTCTAATCAAAAATAAATTCAAAGAAACCTGAAATTCTTTTTATTTTTAAGTTGAGAAAGCATCTAAATTTAATTTGAAGTGTTTCTTCTTCTTCATAAACTATCATTTGGGAAATTCTTGGTGACTCTAAGCTGGGCTTAATTACGAACCAAACAGAACCAAACATGGAGAAGCAGCATTCAGCTTCTATGCACAACAAATCTGGAACAAACTCCCAGAATACTGCAAAACTGGTGTTTCTCTAAATGAAGGCTAAAAACTCAAATTACCTGTTTACAACTACCTTTTATTCTTAATAAATGAAACATTAATCAATGAATTTGATGTGTATTGATGATTTTTCTGATGACATTTGACAAAATGTAATATTTATTGCATCTTTCTGAATTAGTAACTGTATTATGTATAAACTATGTGAAGCACTTTGTTGCTTTACTAAACTTTTCATCAAGCAATATTTTCACATATCTCGTAAATTTGTTGCTATCTGAGTGTCTAAATCAAAATTTTCTCTGAACTCATTTATAGATTTATTTATAGAATTATATATATTTTCTTGTGCATGATTGCTATTATTTTAGCTATTTATTTTATATTTAGTCATATTTAAATTACTTGTCACACACACAGTTGTGTTTTTCTTGTCACACACACAGTTGTGTTTTTCTTACATACCGGACCCCTAACTCAGAAACAGCAATTCCCCCAATAAGGACCAAGAAATGTCCCCATGAAAACAGTGGTCCCCATAACGTAGACAGGAATAGGTCCCAGCGAGGATATAAAAACCTGGTTCACACACACACACACACGCACACACACACGCACACACACACATGCGCCTACACACCCATATAGATATCCATTAATATAGATATATCTTGAATTGTTTGTCTTTTAGTAAATGTTTGTGCTATATGTCTTTCTTTGTTCTCTTTAAATGTGTAACTTAACCTTTTACATAAAACTGATTTTGATTTATCATTATTTTTATTTTCCTTTTTTGGAATTATCTTGTCAAGTTGTCTGAATTGGATGGTTATACATCATATTTACATTGACTTGTACAAAACTCTAGCATATTATGTTAAATACATTTGAGAGAAATTACCAACATGTCTATTATGTTTTCTCCCCCAAATAACATTTTGTGTTACAAAATGCTTGTTTTCAAATTAAGTTTTAATTTTCCTGTTTGTTTAGAAGGAGCATTCATGTGTGTAAAAGTGTGTTAATTTCCTGATGATGTTGTGAATGGTGGATTTAACAGGTGTGTGATGTTTGAGGTAGCTTGTTTTGATCAGCTTCCCCAGCCTGGGGTCCTCTTCCACAACGCCTGACCCCGTCCAGCCGTCTTCGTCTCCCCTCGGCCCGCCTCGGGCCTAAAAAGCAGGCAGAGATAATGCACTTCAAGTCAGAGTAGTAAACAGCGGCATCAGCTTTAAACCTCCTGACATTTTCCAGCTGTGCGGTCCGTACTTATGCCATGTGTATTTTTACACACATCTGTCAGTGCTGCCTTGAAAAGTCCAACACCAGGAATGCAAACAGCGGGGCCAGTCTTGTTTATGTCTTGCCTTGTGGCTGCTGTGGGCACTGGCAGGGCTCGTGGTGTAGTGGGCTCACACGTGCTTTCAGTGGACTCTGCAGAAACTCTACTTTTCACTCTTTAATCACCTCTGTTTTCATCTATAAAATCTCTTCATGCTCCAAAATTCCAGAAATTATCTGCTTAAAGGTAAAGAAGGAGAGGATGCAACAATGCAACAACACAAATCTTGCCAAAAAGTTTTACTCTGTAGTTTCTATTGCAAACTCTGAAGTACAACAAAATTAACTGACAAACCACTTTTTCAGCAGGGCATATGAACGTGTTGTAAGTCAAAAATACTTCAAATAGATGAAAAAGTACATTGACTATTTTACTTATAAAAATGTATTTTCTAGGTTTTTAGTAAAATAATCTGCCAATGCAACTAGTACTTTTTCATCAACATGAAGGAATTAGTTATTTTAAACAAGCACAGACATCTTGCTGAGAAGCTACATGTAAGTTAGTTTTCTCTTATTTTAAGTGTATTAAGATATTTACACGAGAAACTGGACCAAAAATACTTCACATATTTCTGACTCATTTGTTGTTGTTTTTCTGCTTGGGACTCAAAAAATAACAAAAAACAATGTATAGGAATATAAAAAGAATTTGCTTTTGTATATGATGCAGAGATCGTCATGTTGAGATATCTGCTGCATTGTTGCACAAATGCTTGGGAATGCATTGCCTCATAATAAACCCCCACACCCTCCAGCCTAACTCACTCCAGCCTCTTTTGTTTTCTTTTGTTTTTTCATTTTCTTTTTTGGCAAAACAAGTTACAGTTTCATTTTATGATTGTGTCAATAAAGGAAAGAGAGCGAGAGGAGCATAAAAGGAGCCTGGGGTCATTGGTTTCATTCTGCCCTCTCTTACCTTCCTTGCTCAACTCCGAGAGGCATCCACGAGCCGAACCTCCCTCACTCACAGGGAGGTTCAGAATCGGATACAAAAAAAAAGAAAACTGGACGGATCCTTGTGCTTCGAAATCTGTTACTAGTGTAAGTTATCAACAAACAGACTGTTGCTAAGATCTATGTTATGTATTATATAGATTTAAAAAGTGAATAAAGTTGCATACATTTTTGTGTTTGTGAAATGTTGCTGTGTATGCTTCTTATTTACAGGTTTTGTGTTTTTTGTCCCCCTTTTTTTTAGCAGCTTAAAGTCTCATTACTTTTACTGAATTTATGATATTTTGGTCAGAAGTTTACATGCAATGAGTAAATTATCTGAACTATGTTCTTTCTATGTTGAATTATACCTCTAACTCAAATGTAAGCGAACGCCAACAATAACCTTTGAATAAATGTTTATTCTGGCCTAATTTTGATTTAACATTTCACCACTCCATTTGTAAGAAAAATTTTAAGGGGTTGGTTTCCTGTCTAAACCATATATTATAATCATATTCCATACATTTTTAAAAGGGTTTAAGTCAGTACCATTCAAAAATCTTAAAGCTAGCCTGCTTTAATTCTTTGAAAATTAGTTTTGATGTGGGTTAGGGGGATCATTGTTCTGTTGGAACACCTAACTATGTCCAAGTAGTTAGTTACAACATCTGGGCCAAACTGTTCAGCTCAGATGAAACAAAATGGGTCAGAATGTAAAAAGGAATAACAGAGCAACCACAAACTCCATAAGAAGTGAGTTCTAGGTTTCTGCCCAGGGTGGCACAAACTGTGGGGAACCAGTCCCTTGAGTCTGTCTGTCTGTCTGTCTGTCTGTCTGTCTGTCTGTATATATATATCTCTCGGTAGCAATTCAACCACCGACCAATCACCTTTGGATTTTGTTTTTAACATACTGGATTGTGGCACTTGTGGCCTTCCATACCCTACGTGAGATGGTCAAAATCGTTTGGAGTTCAACCAACAAAGTTATGCCTGTGGCTTTATAGTTGTTTTTGTCCTTTTGTGTCCTCTCATATCAGTTGTTGATGCTCTCTTGGCCTAATTTTGGACACTTCTGGAAAGGTTTTCCCCTCTTCCATGATTTATTTTCATTTATGTGTAATGGCTCTCACTGTTCAATTTCTTTAAATAAAGGGATGGTGTGGTTATCTTGTAGCCAACTTAATTTTTTCAGGCCTCAGTGTAATTTCTCAAAAAATTGGTTAACTTTATTGTTTCAAGAGAGGGGAAATTATTTTTCTCCTTATATAAATAGGTTTGGATTTGGGCTCCCCTCTTCTCCCCCTTCTGAATATATTAAATCATCGTTTGAACTCTGAAATTTGTATTTCCTCAGTTGAGTTTAGTCTGTTATTAAAGGACTTTGACTATCTAAAACAGCTAAGTATGACCCCCATCCCCCATATAAAAAGCAAAAACAGAATAATAATTATTTTTCACTGCACCGCTTTCATTTCGAAGTAGTAAATATTCAGCTTGCAGTTAAACTAACTGAACAGATCCTATTCTAACGGTTTTTGTCACGCATTATTTGCGTGGTTTGTGTTTTGTTTATTTTCTAACATTTCATTAACAAGGCGCGCGCTCATTTGCACGAGAAGCGCTGGAATGTGTTCGGCTGGGCGCGTGCAGGATAGGGAGGAATGCCTTAGCCACGCCTCCTCCCGCTCCCCCCCGCTTTCATCCGTACCGACCAATCGGAGAGCGGGGACGGTTTCAAGGCGCCCGAGGAGTGCGGTCCGTGGAAAAACAAAACCCCGCATAACATCAAAACCCGCATTTTACAGCCAACTACCGCCCGGAATCCGTTTTTCTGTGTTGGATTTTACGTTTCGCAGCGACAGACGCGGGTTTTCGCCGCTCTTTGGGGCCGCGCGGGCGGTGTTGTTTATCTGTAGTAAGGGGGGGCTTGAAACCGACCTCCCTTGCCCCATTTCCTCAGTTGTTTTCCTTCTCTCGCCTGGATTCTCCATGTTGTTGGTGCAAAAGTGACGGCGGAGGGGGGCTGCTCGGCGGCTATCACCACCAAATAGTAGCGGTACACCCGAGGAGACGGAGCGGGCAGAGAGCCGGATAACCTCCGGGAAACATATCCAAGTGCCTCGCCCCCCTCGCCTCCTCCTTCCTTCTTCCTCAGCCGACTGAAGAACAAGAAGCATCGGCGTGGAGAAGAAAGAAACCAGGCAGGGACGAGATAAATCCGGACCGTAACTGAGGCGGGTCACACGGACGGTAACCTCGGTGAATACAGCCGCTAGAGTCGCCTTATCAAAACAAAAACCAAAAACCCCAATGAGGGACGCCCATCGCCAGTGCTCGGGGACAGGATTTGAGGATTTTGAGGGCTCCGTGATTGTCAGATGGAAAGTTCTGTTATCACCCAAGTGCAGAAAGAAGACGTCCAAGTGTCACCGAAAGCAGGTGAGCTCATGAAACCCCACGCAGCTGCTGTGTTTGTGCCCACGGCTCGGAGCGCCGAGCCCGCTGGGTTTATGTGTAATAATAAAACCTTGCAAGAAGAGAGAGCGCCTGTTTTTATTTGACAGTTGAGGGCTGCGGTCTGAAAGGCGCGCTGCCTTGTTTTGGCATCGCCCCCCTCTCTCCTCTTCCACTCCACTCAAGTCTTAAGTGATCACTGTGGAATACCCACGCTTATCCTGTTCATTTTATATGGCGCCAAAAAAAATCTGTTTTCCTTCTGAGATCAGCAGAGAGGAGGAAGAGGAAAAACATGGCATCGAATTACAAATGAAGACGTCCAGCGTTGGTTTTATATAACAACACACAGAAAATGTGTTTTATAGTTCACGATGTCCATTGCAGCCCGGGCTTAGCTATTGTTGATCCTGTTTGTCTCTTTCTGCAGTGGGTGCAAATCTGTGGCTCCTCTTCGTGTTATTGTCAGTGGCGGCACTAAGGAGGGGCCAAGGGGGCTTTTAACCCCTTTATTAGGAACGTTAGCAATAATAAAAACTGTTTTTCCTGAAAGAGGAAGGGAATAAAGTTCAAATTCTCTAAAGATCATGTGAGTATGTTAAAAGTTCAAGCAACTACAGAATTTTACAAGCTAATTGTAATTTAATTTAAAGGCTTAAGGATTAAAAATGGATGTTGCAGCTGTTTGTATGGAAATTCTGAAGACAAAATGTATGAACTTTAAGAAAATAAACCAAATAGATAAAATTTTATTGTATGCATCTAACCTAACCCAACTTGTTTTCAGTCGTTATAATCTTGAAAAGCACATCATCAGGTGTCACAAAAATATACACAAATGAGCAATAACAATGAACACAGTCAATCAAAATAAATAGTAATGTAGCCTACTTACAAACCTAGAAGAATACAAGTATCTCTTTCTTTCTCTTACACCATTGTCCCTAGTGGGGTTGGGAGAGTTCACAAGTATAATGAAGTAAATAATATACTTAAAGAATAAAGTTTATATATGTGTGTGCGTGTGTTTATGGGAAGGAACACAATGTACACAATGTGAGACACACCCACTACCTCTATAATCCAGCCCACTTAAGACACCTCAGATTATTCTATTTATCTTTAATTATTATTAGAATAAATACAGCTACTTCATAGGTGCTAATCATTCTTGGAGCCAGTGTCTCAGATTTATTACTTCAGTGTTGGAAATTTAAACCATTAAAAATAAACAAGAGAGAATATTCTGTGACTGAGTTTAAAAATATATTCTTAACTTCTAATACAAACTGAGTTTTCCATGGGCTTAATTAGTCAAGTTCACACATGTAAAATCAGTGGAAATATATGTAATATTTGGCAAATATTTACATTGCAAAGCAGCAGATTGACCCATAAATATGCATTTATTTTTACTTAAAAGGGAAAAATGGCAATTGTTACCAACTACCTATCAGAAATATATTTTAAAAAAATTGTCTGGATTGATTTTTGTGTTCAGCCAGCTGACATGCAGTGTATAGCAACAGCTAGTGTACAGACTTTACTGTGTTCCTTCATGTGTCGGTGTAGATTGTTTCTCCTCATTTAAAGTATTTTAAATGAATGGCATGGTGAAAATGGTATGAAGTGGTAACTTATCATATATAATAATTAGTATAACATAGTTAACTTTATGATAGTGCAAAATAATATATTTTTTTTATCACTGTTGTATTAATTTCTGTTAATATCTGTTCTGACTCCGCCCTCAGATGATGTCAAACGCCATTTTGAAATCATGGACAAAATGTTTTTAGCATGTTTTTAATATTTCCAAATCAAATTGTCAGATTTTTTTTTTATATCTTTGTAATTGAAAATATGAATTTACAGCACTTTGAAAATGTAGAAGAGTTAAAAAACAAATCTCCAAAAACTCTCTTGTTGCTTTTGGCTTTGATGGGTCCGTTCTGAGTTTGGCTAACTGTTTAAAAACTGAGAATATTTTTGGTTTTTCTGCGATTTAATCAATCGACGAAAGAAAGATCGACTTGTTTATTCCTAATTCAGCAGCATGAACCTGCTGAATTAGGAATTTTCTCCCAGATGTTTTTTGCTTCTGTTTCCGTCTGTTTTGGCACCGTCCCGCGCCCTGCCAGCAGCAGGCACAGCGCTGTTTCTGTCCTCTGGGCGCCAGAAGCATCATGTGCGCCTCTGGCTGCAGCCGATTGCGGCCCCGCTTTTGGGGGGTTTTTTGGAGCAGGAACTGGGCGTGCATCCTGCCGCGCATGAACGCTGGGATGTTTGCTGGTTGCAATAAGGAACAATCAGGTGCGGCAATGCTGACAGCGGAATGCACAAACACTCCCCGTCCTCAACACGCCCATTGTAGCGCCGCTCTAAAACATTTGGTTGTTTGCACACTTTGCTCAGGATTGAAAGAGGCTTTGCTTCACTAATTCAGCCTCTTGGTTCATGTTTTATCCATAGAAGATAATCCAGCCTTAGTGTCAGATTCTTTGGATTGTATCTTTTTTTCTTTTTTTTTAAGATTGTGTGGGCTTGGGTGATATTTAGCATTTTTTTGGATCCATCTGTCTGTCACTGATAAACCTCTGAGAGATTAATCTTCCCATCCTTTTCACATGAAGGGGAGTTTTGCTGTGTTATGTCATACATATCTCTTCCCTGGAAACCAAAAGGTTGATTTAAATGCCAAATGTGTGTGTTAAATCTTTAACCGTAACGTCGTCTATAAAGGGAAAAAGGTCGCATGCCTATCTGCAGTAACTGTATTGAGTTGCAGCGCGCTTTGTCTCAACAGCATGGCGTTGTGTAACAGGGCTGTTGCCGTGTTTGCATTACGCGTTTAGAGCAGCGCCGATCAGGGTGCAGGCTGCTGGTTGGATGATTAAATTCGGAAAAGTCTCAATTTCAAGTTTCTAAAAGCACTAACTATAAACACACTTTGATGCACTTTTTCTTTAAGTTTAACAACATTCAGATGCATTTTTGACATGCAATCTGGCTATTTTTATTTTCTCAGCTGTGATTGTTTTTCATTAAATACTGATAAATGAAGCAGTCCTACAAGTTTTGTACTTAGAAATGTGTCCTGATTTATACAATAATGCAGTTTTCAGCTTGATTCACAACTTTTTGTTCTTTTTTTATGTGAAAAGATTGTGAAGGGAAGCAAAAATCGGTTTCTGCCAGCAAAAGCCTAATTGGTGCATCTCGGTTTTCTCCACTCTTCCTCCTCCTTTGCATGTTTATTCCAGTGATCACACAATATTGATGGGTTTTAAACTCTCGTCGCTTTTCTTTGCAAGTTCTCACACGAAATGCACCCGAGGGAGGTACAGGGGGGACTCGCAAGAATGCCTTCCTCCCCTTTTCTTTGTCTGCAGCACAGGTGTTGCATGGAGCTCCGGGACTGATCAAAGGCGAGCCGTGGTTGTCGGTGTGGTCCGGTCCGGCTCGCCATTTCTGGCCTAAAAGGGCCCTGGGAGCTTAAAACAGCTGGAATGTTTTCTGTCTGTGTTTTCCGCTGAAAAGTGTGGGTTTTCCCGCCCTCTGCGATTATGTAACCTGTACCAGCCATTTCCAGCAGAAGCAGCAGCGGCAGACGCATTAGAAACAGATTTCTGTGCATGGGTCTCTGCCATGCATGTCGACAGATGGACGTTGCCTTCAGGAAAATAGTTGGTTCAGAGTAAATTTTGCAGGCAAATTGCATCTCGTTACACTACATTAAGCACTTTTTTTATTTGTTTGTGTTAGCTTTTTTTTTAATTAGCTTACGGGAGTTGTGGGATTAAAAGCTGAGGCCCCACTTAAGATTTTCTTCTGTTTTTCTGTCGCTCGCCCCTTCAGGCCAGGTGAGCCGCTCTGCCCTGAAACAGCCTCGGAGTTGTAACATCTTCAAAGCCCTCTTCTGTTGCCTCAAAGTCCAGGATGGCCCCAAACCACCTCAGCCGCCACTGCCGCCGCCTTCCCAGCATGCCCTGCTGGAGTCACAGGAAAATGGGACGGTTTTCAAGGTAACATGGATGTAAAAATCTTCACATCGGAGTTGTTCAGGATTCATTTCATGATAGTTAATAGATGGTGGTCAGGTGCTGATTCTTTAAATATTCTTTCATGTTTCACTCATTTTGTTTTGTCTGCACATATCTGGGACAGTAAAAGTTCCCCCAACTGTCCGAAACGCATAAAAGCATAACATGATGCAAATGATTAATCGGATTAATCGATTATCGAAATAATCAACTAATTCTAATAAGCGATTAATTATTAACTGGAATTTAACTTTTTTTTTTTAGAGAGACAATTTTCTGAAAAAAGCAACTTAATCTGAGTGGTAAATAAGGCAAAACTGTTCAAAAATATAAACATTTTGCATTTAAGAAAAAATAAAAATCTTATTCAGAACTTCTCAAGCGGCAGTTTTAGCTTCACCTGTTTCAAATTCTGTGAAGAAAATCTCAAATTAAGCAAAGCATCTTTTTCTACATAATTATTAATTTGTTTATTTAAAAAAACTAGTATTTTAACCTGCACTGTGTTGATGTTAAGTCAAGAGAAAATATTGATGTTGTAAGTATTTTTTTTTAACTGCAGATGCATTCTTTGCTGCAAATAATCAATAGTTCAGTAAAGGAATGCTGTTACTGCATGTTAGGCAATAAATGTGTATTTTTTTATTATTATTTTAAAGACACAACTGAATAATTTTATTAGAATCTGTTTTTTTTTTAATAATACATAATTAAATGAAATGAATTTTTATTTGATTAATCAGTTGAATTATTGATTACTAAAATATCTGCAGCCCTGCTACCAAATTCCAAACGAACCTACAGATTTTCATGTTGCAGTTCAGTGCAGCTTTACTTTGCATTAAACTAGACGAACGCTGAAATCAGCTGGTCAGAGTGAATCTGCTACGTTTAGCATCACGTTTGGTAATAAAAACCAGTCCCTGCTTGGGTGTTACTTTGCTTTTTACAGGCTCACAAAAAGCGTCTTTCTCCAGCTTGATTTTCCTTTCCTAATGGATGAGCCATTCCTGTTATGTAATAAATTAATTATTAATCCCCATCTGCGTGGAAAGACAGAGATCTTAAAAAATGACACTATTGTTTCCCTCTTAGAAAATCAACCAAAAACACATAAAGATGCTCCTGAGCTGCAGCTAAAGGAGATAATCCTCCCAGTTCTCCTGAAACTAAACTCATCTAATCTCATTTTCCCTAAAGAGAGAATATCGAATGAGTCGGGATTGATTTCCAGATAAATCTCTACCTCGTAGGGACGAGTTGTGTTGTTTTAAAGAGTGTTGATGTTTCTCCTCAGCCATCAGAAGTTAGCCTCCTGCCTGAGCTGAAGGCCGAGGACCAGGGGAAGGTCTGCGTGGTCATAGACCTCGATGAGACCCTGGTGCACAGCTCCTTCAAGGTACATCTGCCTCTGCTTTCTTATTTATTTATTTATTTGCATTTTGGATGCATTTTTCTTTATAAAAAGCTGTGATTTTTTTGGTTGAAACCTCCAACCCTGCTTCATGCAGGGCGGTTGTAGAGCGACTTGCTGCCTGGTTGTTATGTAATGCCATGTGAATGTACGCGGCGTGCCAACCCTCCCCTCTCCCCTTCTGTCTTCTCCCCTCCAGCCCATTAGCAATGCAGACTTCATCGTGCCGGTGGAGATAGAGGGGACCACACACCAGGTAAACGGCCATGTTTGCTGTGGGCGAGTGGGGTGGAGCCCGTCCTTTAGGGTTTCACACAGAGATGTGGCCACGGATCCCCCTGCTGGCCAGATGTTGAACAGAAAGTAGAATCAAAGCAAAACTGTTTTTATTGACATGCACAGGAAATGTTACTGCTATTTATTTAAAAAGAAGAGAAGAAAAATATGTTTAAAGCTTGGGGTGTCCCTTGGTTAGTAGTGCAGTTCATGGCTGATACAAATGTATTTTTAATCAGGCAAACATTTTATTAATATAATTTTATTGCAATGGAAAATGTTGAGTACAACATAAAGTATTTGTCTGTTTTCAACCAAAGTTTTACAGTAAATAGAAAAGAGTTGAATCGATTAATCAAATTAAATCATGATTAATCAGATTAATTGATGATTAAAATAATCCATTAATTGTTTATTGGAACATACAGACTCAAAAAAGGCTGTTTTTCTGATATCCAGAGCGGTAATTAAGCCACAACTGTACAAAAAATTATATATAAATGTTGGATTTAAGATTTGTTTTTAAATTCTCTGTAAAATGTTCCCAAAACTCTGGAAGTGACATTGTTTTTGCTTCACCTAGTTCAAATTCTGGGGGGAAAAAAATCTTAAGCCCCTTTTGTTATCCAGTTATTATTAGTAGGATAATTATTTAGTTTCAAAAATCCCTTATTACAAAACTAATAATATACAATGACTTTATTTGTTTGACTTTTAGTTTTGACTTGCCGATTTTGACCCACGTGACTAAAAGTTTGGACACCCCTGGTGTATCTGAGCATGTGGAAATGTGATTAAGTCAGAAATGTGATTCCTTTGGACTTGATGTGCTGGTCAGGAATCCCCCACTGGGCCTCCGCCTGGTTCAAGTAATCCAGGATAGGCTGGTTCATGCTGGCGCGGCCTATTCTTGATTACTTGTTTCAGGAAGTGGTCACGAGCAGCTGAAGCGTTATTCGGACCGGGTGTGTGCATGAACGTGACCCTGTTTTGCTGACAGCCTGTGTGCCTCTCCAGGTGTATGTCCTGAAGAGGCCGTACGTGGATGAGTTCCTGCGGAGAATGGGAGAAATGTTTGAATGTGTGCTGTTTACAGCCAGTCTTGCTAAGGTACAAAAACAGATCCTGAACTCCATCTCTATTTTTATTAAGTGTCAGCAAGTTGAAGTGTTGTGTGGCTGATTTAAGCCCTGATCTGTCAGTTGTTGTTCTGCTTTCTCTCGCCTTTAGTTCCTATTTTGTTTTAGAGCTGCCTAACCTTATTATTAGACGCCCTGAACACATTTACAGCTCTAACAATCCATAGACAGTTCTTCATTAGTGTGTCCTCGCACGTCCCCGCTCTTGTCCCTCCTCCTCCAGTATGCGGACCCAGTGACGGACCTGCTGGATCAGGGCGGCGTCTTTCGGACTCGGCTGTTCCGCGAATCCTGCGTGTTCCACCAGGGCTGCTACGTGAAAGACCTGAGCCGCCTGGGGAGGGACCTGAACAGGACCCTCATCCTGGATAATTCCCCTGCCTCGTACATCTTCCACCCTAATAATGCTGTGAGTCCATGCCTGCCTCCTCTTCTCGCTTCCTGACCCATTTGTTTTTTTTTAATTGTGGGCAATATTGCTTAGAGGTGACCTACTATGCTTCCTTGAACAAGTTAGGATAGGTCTATCAGCGATACAAAACATGTTCTTTACATTTTTTGCACCAAATCATTTTTAGGTAATGAAATTTTAGTCTTCCCAGTTCAAAATGACCTGTTTTAAGGCGTCTTGTCCCTTTAAATCTAAATAACGTGCTGCTGGCCATGCCTCCAAACTCATCGTTCACACTCTCACGTGAAAACAGATTTGTAATCATACAACTGTACATCTTTGAAAAGCAGAAGTAGAGCCTCCTGCACAACCAATAAGAATGCAGCAAGTGGTTTTGGGATTGTAAGACAACAAAACAGCTTCTGAGAAGGAATTCTTCACATAGAAGAGTTTTTAAAAATATTTTCTGTCATTTGCAATTTTTTAAGAAAAATGAATCGTCTCCTTCATTCAGGACTTTCTTATCTCTGTTAACGTTCTGTTTTTTGTTTGTCCTCCAGATTCCCGTGGTGTCATGGTTTGATGATGCGGACGACGCCGAGCTGCTCAACCTGCTGCCCGTGTTCGAGGAGCTCAGTAAGGCCGACAACGTCTACACCCGGCTGGACCAGCTCCGGGAACAGTAGTTCTGCTCCTCATTAGTCTGCATTCACCGAGAAAGAGACGCCGCCGTGTTTCACCTTCCCACTCACGTGCAGCTGATTTGGCGATCTTGCCCAAACCTGGCGATCATGACAACCACTTCCTTTTTTTTTTTAATTTTTATTATTTTTAATAAAAGCACTACAAGAAAAGACTGGGAATTAACCAAAGCCATCCCATTACAATCACTCCAGCTGGTTTAAATATGAAAGTGGATCTTTTGCCAAAGCAGACGTCTGCCTGCCCTCACTGGACTTTTGGATATGGTTTGCTTTATTGTGCCTTTTAAGGGACAAGAGTGAAAAAAAAGTTTTTTAATTCCACCAGATTTTTATACATTTATAGATTCCTTTTTTATATAAGGAAATCTATTTTTAAATGGTGAACATTGTTTCTCTATGCAACCCAGTTTGGTAATAACATGGTGAACCTCCTGCGGTCGACAGATGTGCAGTTCTGTGAAAACGTCTTGGCCCCCTTTACAGATTTCTGCTGCTTTTCTTCTTAAAAGTTTCAGATCATCAAAAAAACATTTATTATTAGACAAAACTATTTTTATATAATAATTATTGAGGGAAAAAAGCTCTCCAAATTCCTGTTGTCCAACATTTATGAAATTATCTCTGATTAATTATGATTTTAGGGTTCAATTTAACTATTAATACTTTTTAGAATTGAAGAATTTAAATAGTATTTGTCTAATGACACAAAGTAGGTAAAAAAAAAAAAACACACACATTTTGCCCTGACCTGAACATAAACAATCTGGATCGTGAAGCCAAATGTTGCCTGGGCCAACTGTAAAAACAATCACTGCCAGTTATTAAAAACGCTTCATTTAAACGTAATGAGTTTCCCTTCTCTCATCACTGCACACCCGCTTTGTGAGACGAAGACATATCTGGTGTCCATGGCAGCGTCAGACTCTTGGCCAGAAGCTGATAAAAAGCACTTGAGTTTAATCCCAGGACAAATGTCAGTGATCAGGAACCTTCGTCAAAAAGACATTGTATGGAGTTCTGGTAGTGTCAAAAAAGCCTACGTTTTTGTGATTTTTCAGTAAAATGTGCCTAAATTTCTTGTAATTTTTGCTTCTTTTTTTTTTTACACAGGATTTCCATAAAATATCCTTCAAGTGGAGTCAAATATTACGATTTCTTATTGTTTTACTAAAATTTGGGGCGGAAAAAAGATAAACAATTTTAGACACGTAAAACCTCCCAGTTTTGTAGCTATTATTCCACTAAAACTTTCTGTAAATTTGCTTCAGTCTACCTGAGCTGCATCAATCTTTGCACAGGTAGAGAGCTATGATTTCTAGAAATCTGTAGCCTTGTTTATGTTTTTTAAAAGGTTTCTATTCTATATAATGTAAAAGATAAAAAATGATTTAATGTTCCGGCCTTCTGAAGCTGTAACAGCTGCTGTGATGCTTACACCTCTGGTGGAGTCTCCCAAGTGTTGGCTTCTTTTGGATGTTGATTATTGAACGATTATTCCAGTTGTCTCAGCAGAGGATGAAGATCTGAGATGAAGAAGCAAAAACTGGAGAAGTCTTTAAGGGGCGAATACTTTTTATGGAACTGTAAATGTTGCTGAATGCTTATTTACATCAAATCAAAGTGGATTCTACTCATTTGTGCTGTAAACAAACTTTTTTTCCCCAAACATGCAATAAAAAAATCAAATTGATAAAGTTGGGTAAACGGGCGAAGATCTTTGGTCCGATGTAAACAGTCACACTGGATAAGCTGGCACATAGGATGAGCGTAAACGTTAAGAGTTTTCAGACAATACTTCGTTTGTTACTGTGTTTTTCTTTCTTTCCAAACGACAAACAGCTTGCACTTGTTTTATATCGACAGTGCTGAAAGTAAAAACTGTGCCTTTTGGAAACGGAGGGACAGAGAGAAACGCCTGAACAGAGATTTTGGAGGCCTGCACAATCCCTGGTGTCATGCTGAGCGTGAGAAAAAACACTGTCAGGAGCAAACAGGTGGGGACGCCAGCAGCTCTGGTACTTATAGTGCAACACTTGAAGCTATCAAATTTGATATTTTGAAATTGCTAAGTGTTTTTTTTTCTAAATATATTTATTGGCCAAAATAAACTTGTAATTGTCCAGGACTTCTTAATGCGCAACATTTTATATTGTGATCCATTTTGCCTGTACTGAGGCTGGCCTTGTGTTTTACTGTTTATCTGTGCCTATATAACACCTTTTGCTGATGGATTGATCTTCAGCCTGTTCAGATATAATTTACAGAACAAGCGTGAATCTGTGCTTTTATCATGTTTTCTATTCATGTGGTATTGTAAGAGGTTTTCTTTGGTAGGATGGTTTTTACGATGTTTGTCTGATGCGATTCTTGCCTGCATGTTGGTGAGTCAAATATGAAAATGAAAATGTTTGTTGTGATGACCAAAAGTATTTGAAGAAGTCTCAATTCTTTTGTGTGTTGCAAAAATACAAATAAAAGAAACTTTTTATACCTGATCTGACCAAATCTAAAAAAAAAAAAAAAGGTGCTACCAACTTTGATTTTAAAATAAAATTTGGTTATATTTTATATTCTTGGTACTGTATGTGTTCCTTTCATTTTCATTTAAGATAAAACTTTAAATATTTATATCCACCTTACAGTTAATGTATGTTTTGGTGATTAGATTTGTCAGAAATTAGTAATAAAGAACAAAACGTCGGTAAAACACAGTGTTAAATGGAAATATCACCTGTTTTTTATAGCAATCTGTTTTAATTTGATTTGATTTTATTTTGTGTATTTAAATTAGTTTTAAAAATTTAATCTCTAGCAAAAAGATAAAGAAAACCATTCCACTTTATTATATTTACAGAGTTTTCACACCTTAGCTTACGCTAACAAAATGTTCTTGTAAATTTGTTCATTACAAGACAATAGACTATAAACAAAATATATCTTTAAGGCATACAGAATAAAAAGCTCTTACTACAGTCAGAATTAGAAGTAATAAATTAAATGGTCCTCTTTTTGCTGGGGATTTTATGCATTTAATATTTTAAACAAGAAAAGACAAAAAATATTGTTAATATTTCAGTTTGGTATTTTGAATTTCATAACAAAAATCAACTAATCAAATCATTTTGTTTTTGTTGTCATTACTGGTCTGTTCTTGTCTGTTGTGGTTTGTTATTTTTTTTAACAAACCAGTAAAAAAACAACAAATGGCAATAGTTTTTTATATTATTGGCTTGATTTATGTTTCATATTTAAAATGCAATAAATAAATAAACGCTAGGATGCAAAACTGAAAAAGATTATTATGTTTTTAATCTTATAACACTTATAAGAATTCACATTTTGATTGCTTTGAAACATGCAAAGAAAATAAACATTTTTATTCAGCGTTTTTGGATCACAAAATTTCTCCTTGTAATAAAATTTTAAATTTTTTATTTAATAAAAAGATTTTAAAAATTACATAACCTAACTTCTTTCTTTTTTCTTTTTTTCATCAGTAATGTTTTCAAACGAGAAATAAATAATTACCCAAACTTCCACGTATCATTTTGGGTTCAGTCACATGAAGGGAAACAACTGTATTCAGGATTATGTATCGGTAAAAACACAGCTGAACTGCGTATTTAAATGCAAAATGAATTCAAAAACGAAAGTGATATTTACATTTTTTCATGCCCATCATAATGAAACATCCTGAACTATTAGACAGAGGTGCATTCATAAGTGGCTCTAATTTATCTCTATATGGCAAACTAATTTTTGGCTGTAAAATGTGAGCTTTTTGATATTTAATTCAAACTAAAAACTAAAATTAGACTTAACATGAAGTCAAGCAATGACGTCGTTTCGCAGTCTGGTTACAAAGAAGCGACTCGTTACATGACGGCCATTTTAGGTGAACGTTTCCCAGTTAACGCATCAGGAAGTGGCAAAGAGATTCGTCAACGAGTAGCGGCTCTGTTATCAAACCACACATTTGTTTTTGCAGGCAATGTTCACATAAAACAAAGCAGATTATTTATTTACCAAACGCAACAACTTCGCCGAAATGCGAACGTCACTGCAGCTATATGAGGACGAAGTTGGCGTCCGATTCAGAGCTTTGTTAAAGGGCCATGACAGTTTTAATGCCACTTTGGGTAACTTTGGAAAACAAATTACTTATAGAAGTTGTTTTACTATATCATACTTTATACATTTACATGAGTAATATTTTCAGAAAGTATTGCTACTCTTGTAAATAATACAAATCTAGTCATTTTGTGTTAAGTGAATCTCTTCTTCCATCTGTCAAGCCTGTTGTTCCCAGGTCAAAAAGATTCAGTAAACACTATACATTATCACTGTAAAGCACTTAAGTAAATTACAAATAAGCCTTGGTTTCAAAAGTTTTGCATTGAAAAATATTGGAAATAGGGCTTATTCTGCCTTCGTTTTCTTATTTTTGTGATTATGTTGTTTCTCGTTTTGGTTTTTAGCATATCAAGCTTTGCACATTACGTCATACATAGTTCTCATGTGAAGATCTATGTATTATGGGAACTTTGCAGCTGTCTGAAGTTAAATATCCTGCCAATAATTATTTCATTGATATATATTTCTCTTGTTGGCACTATACTTTCTTTTCATTGGTCTCAAAGGTTAATTTTGCTTTGCACAACGTTTGCCTACCAAGATGGCGGCTCAGTGATGCGGATTCTTTCCAGTTCAGTCTTGTGGGGACTCTTGTGTATTTTTTCTGTCTGATAGCATCATTATAAAATATCAAGTCAGATGTTCTGATCCCTTCTTTAAAAGTTATTAAAGGTACCCTTTTTACCAAATTGTTTTTTAATATATATATAATTTATTGGACCGTTACTTTTAACTTACAACTTTTGGGTACTGAGACCTTAATTAAGATTTTTTTCTTGTTGTTGTTGTCTGTTTTTCACAAATAAACTCAATCTTTTATTTAATACTAAATGTTTCTAAAGAAGCAACAATCAATATGGAATAATTCACCGATGGTTTGATCAATCTAATCAGTTCAGTTGCTGAACTGCAGAAATCAATCGTTTGCTGAAGCTACAAATCGAGTGCCGACTTCGGCGTCATGAAGTCTTCTGGGTGTTTCCATGGTGACATCAGCAGGCTGACTTGGTCTGACTGACACGTACTGGTTTGTTAAGAAACTGTAGCAGCGAGCGATCCAGGAAAGCTCCCGAACATTTCGGAAGGCAGAGCCCAGTAGGTGTGTTGGCCCCAATGTGTTTTGCTGTATGGTGGTATTTTAATGCTAGCTGTAAAATCGCCACCAAGAAGCAGCGGCTTCTTGGTGAAAAATGCCGAAGACGTCGAGTTGTGTTGACAGATTTAGCAACCGTTAGCTAGCTGGCTAACTAGCGGGCTGGGCTAGGCTACCGACGTTAGTTAACGGTGACTTTACAACAGCTATTCATAACCACGCTCTTTTTGTCTGTATTTATAAATCAACTTTTGGGCTACCTTAATGTTTTAACGACAAAGCTGAACTCTAACGTCTGTTTACGCAGCTTTTATTTGTTCGGTGTATTTGTGCATGGGTTCGTCAGCCGTTGACATTTGATGTTGACCAGTAGTTTAACGTCTTGTTTAAATTACGCAATTATGTTGTTGTAATTTGTTTTAATGGAGTACCAGTCGGTGTTTGATTCTAAATGCAGACTATTTAAAACGATTGCTGTTTTTTTTTTTTTTTTATTGAGAAAATGTCCCTGAGTTTGTTTTGTATTATTGGGTGTTAAATTTGAACTGAAAATGTTTTAAATATCTAAAACAACAAGAAATGATTACCAGAAATAAATCTGTACTCAGACTAGTGGAAAATGTAAAAAGGGATATACAATTGTTGACATTGTCTCTTGCATTTGATATGTATTAGCACCCATTGTAATAGACGCGTCAGCTATGTGTTATGTATGTCAACACAATTAATTTTGATTTAGAATAAAAATTTTCAGAAAGTCCCAAGATTGAATATATACATACAGATTACAAGTTTGAAAGGTTACAGCATCAAAACTGATTTCTGTGTCAAATCACACTTTTTCTTTGTGTAATATTAACAATATTTCAAATGACTGTTTTAAATGCAGTTATTGTTTGCTGATATATTTAATTGTATGTTGACATTTGGCATGCTAAATTGTATTCAACCTGTTTGATTGATAACAGAGCTTAAAATTGTAAAGATCCCAAAAAGGCCTATAAGCTCTGAGAACTGGTGAGGAAAATTAGTATTTTTTTTATTTGTCATAACGCATCATACTACCCAACCTCTCACAAGACTAGATTATATTATTTGTATATCTCTGCTAGAACTAATTTTTTAAAAAGGTGCAAACAATTATGTGCAGTAAAATGAATCCTTAGCAAATCCTTGTCCTTAACTATCATTGAACCTGAGCTCTCTTACAGAAACCAGTGTTTTATGGCCATACAATAAAAATTACAGGTCCATAAAATTAAGCAGTAATTTAATTTTGTTTCACAGGAGGCATTGTTGGATCAAAACACTCTTAAGATCCTGAACACCTGATACCATCATGAATGTGTTTGACCGCAACATCAATGTTGACGCCCTCTTCAGGTTCTCCCAAATGTATGTAAGCTTGTTTTCCATTCAGTGTGTGACGCTTTAACTCGTGTCGCCATCTCTCATGCTTCTTTTGCTGTGATCTTTGCAGATCTCACTCCACCCAGGTGCACCTGAAGAATGTGTACTCCAGCTTGGCTGCCTGTATGTTTGTGGCTGCAGCCGGCTCATATGTTCACGTGGTCACCCGCCTTTTGCAGGTAGGTCAGAATGAAATGCAGCAGAAGTAGGTTGAGCTTTTAAATTGTAAAGTTAAGTAGAAGCAGACAAATTTGAGCTAATTCTGTTGAAAAAAGCTTTTCAAAAGTTTTCAAAGATTACGCCCCAACCACCACGTCTCTGCCATGGTCTTATGACCAATTACAGTTCATTTACTTTAAAAAACCTCCCAACTTTTTCACTCCTTAGAATGACATTGGCAGGGGTGGAGTAAGTTAGATTTGAATGACTTTAAATGACATATGAATGTGATGAGATGTAGCATTTACAAAATGTTCATCCTTTGTGATTTAGCAGAAGTCGAGTCTTTCAAAAAAGTGATCTAAAGAGTTTAAAACAAGTTGCTTAGAGACACGTTTATGGGCAGCCAAGGTTCACTGAGATATGTGTGTGAAGAGGCTGGTCTGGACTGATAAGGCTGCTGTACATTGGGCTACGTCCACACACCTCATCTGGATGTTTGATTCCATTTTTTATTTCGTTTTATGAAATCAAATAAATTTTTGCGTGGTTCTTCATTCTACTCGTTAAATGTGACCACAGTCAGATTTCTGTGTCAATGGGTTCTGACCCCAAAAAGAGCAGCGGCAAACTTTTTACAAAAATAAAAATGAAAGACTCAAACTTTTATCGTAAATACTGATTAAATCAAGTTTCCATTGATTAGTTCCAAACAAAGTGTTGGCATCGCTTGTTTCAGGCATTGTTTATGTCCAGATTCTTCTGGTATAGA